CGTTGCTTCAGTGATGCTATCTAACCATCTCATCCTCTGCCGTCCCCTTCTCCTTTTGCCTTCAATACTCATTTTTAAAAACCTTTATTTAGAAGTAAATAAATGGACACTACTGCTGCTGTCCACCACATTCCTGCTGGCCATGAGGTTATCATGAGCTAGAGCTGCAGTCCAGCAGGAGGTTCATAGCTCTCCAGATGGAGCAGAACAAATTAGGTACTCAATACTAGCAGGATATAATCAGGAAAAACTTCACATCACCAAATTACCTATTCAATATTATCTGCCCAGCGTATCGTAGAGCTTTTTCCCTAACCTGCTTTAATATCTTGCCCTCTGTGATATTGGAGGAAAGGTATAACAGTATTCATTCTGCAGAGCAAACTCTGACCTGGAGAAACCTAAGATGCTAGCCTACAAATTCGTTCAATGTCCTTTCTACAACAACCTGAGCCTTTCCCTTATAACCTCACTTTTTAACAGAAATTCAGTCTGTACTGAAGATAATCTCATTTGCTTTTTATTTTCGGACTGGAACCTTACCATCTCTAGGAGAGTTGCAAAATTTCTTTCAGCTGTCATTGCTTTATGCAGGAAACTGGTCTCCTATTTTAGATCTCATAAATATACATTTTAACACATTCTGTGTTGTTTTTTGTTTTCTGCTATGTCTCATTTGCCACTGATCACAAAAAGATAACACTCTATCAACAGTTTAGTCCTTAATATGTTAGTATTTCAATACTTTAATCATAAAATAGTTTTCTGATCTAGTTAGTTTTAAACATTTAGATTTTTGGTATTCTATTTCTGTCTATAGTGTTTAGCAGATTAATCCATTTTATTTATTTCTGTTGATCTAGAAAATTTTTAACTTGACCTTGTAACTTCTTACAAAAGTTATATAAATGCTGATTATTGACAACAATAAAATACTACCATATTCCTACTGCTTTAAGACCTAATGGAGGATGCATCAACCACTGAATCAAAAGTCAACAAAGAGGAAGCAAGAACGTGTACAAAAAGTACTCAGTCTCTCCTTGTCTTGTGAAGATGCCAGTGTTCCTGGAAGAAAAAAAACACATTTTTCTGCAGTAGGGAAAAGAAAATGGGAAAAGCACAATTTGTTTTTGTTTGTTTTCTCCATACTCTTCCCATTTCTATTTAATACTGACTCTGTGAAGTCTTAATTTAACCATTACCAATCTTTTCCTTTATACATATCACTGTATTGCATCAAATATTGAGGACTACCATAAAAACCAGAGTTTAGCAAGTCCATACTTGCAGTATTTTAATGACCAAAGTCTTATGAGATCATAAAATCTTACAAAGTTTTGGTAATTTCATCATGAAATCTTGTAAGGATTTAGACAATAGCAACAAAACCTTAGTAGATTTTAAGCCATCCTTTAAGAAATTATCTATTTAAAAGGTTGTTATTGTTTCTGCACCTGTACCGGGAAGAACCTGCAGTAGTATTACAGATTATCTTTGGACCATAGTATGGGACATTGCCTTAGTAGATCATTTAATAACCATAGTTTTCAGCTCTTGCTTTTAAAAAAATGCTCCCAAGACTTTCTTGCAAAGCCACGTTGCAATGGCTTTCTTAAAAATTAACAGGGTGGGACCTAATCTGGTCCTGGGGTGTATGCTGTTCCAAAAAAGGGAGACACTGGAGCATTCCATTGTTCATCCTGGCCATGCCAGTCCAGGTATTCTGAGAGTGATCCAGCAATTTTCTACAAGTAAATCTCCTGGAATAGATTTTTGTTTAAAAAACTGCTGGATCACCCCAGAATGTCTGTACTGTGTGAAATTCCTAATGCCTTACAATCTGCAAACTGAAAATCAGGCTTTGAAAAATAACCCTGATCCCTTCTTTCCTACATCCCTCAGAATTTAAAGATTATTTTTTGTTGTTAATAATAATAATGATGATCATAATAAACATCTGGATGACTGTGCAACCAACCATTATATATTAAATTTATATGCCGCTCGACTCCCAGCAACTTAAAAATATGCAATAACTTATTGATGTTTCCCCAATTCTCCCATAACCATAACTTCCTTTAATGTACATGGAAGATGAAGCCACAATTTATAAAGGAATTGGTTAATGATATAGTCTTTTTTCCTGCTAAATTTTCTCAGCAACATTAGTGAGTGCTATACATGCATATTTCATTCATAGATTCCATATCATTGAATGTGAAATCCAAGTGGTAAATAATGTTTTTAAATGACTGTATCTGAGAAGCACATAGCTAGGCAGGAATACTAGAAGTATTACATTAACAGTTATTAATACCTTATATCTCTAAATATTTCAAAAAAAATGTTCAAATAAAATACACATTTGTTCGAATATTAAACCATGCCAATGGACCTCACCCTCTACTCACCTATTAAATATTCTGTCTTTGGACATTGGTGAAAAAAATTGAAATATATCACATAAAGCTGCTGAATCTTCTATTGATTTAGGACAGCACTTTTTTCCTTTTCCCTGAACTTTGATAATGAGATTATTTCCCCTGTTTTGATAGAGGCCATGAAGAGTTGAGAGGAAAATATACTTATCTGTGTCTTTGTTGCTAACTTTCATTCATGTTGAACAATATGGCAATAAGTGGTTTTCTCCTCCAAGGCATTAGTATATTGCCAGATAAACATCACTTACTATTATTCCCTCCATAAACCAGGGACACATTACTGAGTATATATAACTCAGTTCTTAATGTTTCAGTGTGTGCCCTTATTGATTGGATCAGCTTCACTGGCAGAGCAATTCTTGTTGTGAGGTTGTGAGATCCAAAGCTAGAGGGAATCTTATTCAAACCCTTGCTGGATTACTGCTGGCTGGAAAGATAGAAGGGTGGAGTAATTCATTATTCTCTTTCTTTTAAAATGTATTGTCTTTGGTGTTGCTAAACAATTTCCCACCTATTAATGCAAATGGGAGAAAATAATCTCTTGCAGGCTATAAGG